TTGTAGCTAAGATTACAGGACTATTCTGCCAGAGTTTGTTTAGAACAACATGTTAATAGGCTTAGCTGGACATGATGGCATTTCCAACTGCGAAGGCAGAGGCAGGAAGATCTCTGTGAGTTCAGTGCCAGCCTGGTCTACAGAGTGAGTTTCCGGCCCACCAGGGTGACAATATTGAAAGCCTGTCTCAGAAAAACTAGGGGAGAGGGTATGCTAAGGCCCACCAACAGCGTGCAAGTCTTAAACCTGGGACCTCTCTCGCTGCTTTACCTACCCCACCCCAAGTATGAAGATGAGTATTTCATACAGTGGGGGGGTCTGGAGGGGGAGTGTCATGGTGGAACCTGGCACACAGGGAGGACAAGAGGCAGGGGCATCCTCAGAGTCCAGACAGTGCCAGCCTCGTGGCTTCATTTCAGACTCTACAGGGAGAAGCAGTATGTGCCAAGATGGGGTAACCAAAAGGCATAGTGGTCTGGGGGGGGCACAGAAAGTGGGGAGCATAGGACCCACCACCCAAGTCCAGCAGAAACCTTTGAAGAATAAAGGCAACCCCATGGTGGGACTTGAGGGGCCGCACGGGTGAGAGAAACAGGTCCCTGCCGAAGATCAAGAGCCTGGGTTGAACAAGGGGCTAGGCCCGCAGAGGATCCCTCTAGAGGTGTCCTGCCAGATAACCCTGGCTCGCGCAGTTGGGTGGGGGAGGAAGAAGCTCTTCCTCCAGCCTAATCTCATCAGGAAGAAAGACTTTCTCTTGGCTGCCGCCAGCCTCAATCTGTGTTTCCTATGGGCCTGTGGGAGGCCAGACCAGAAGGAAGGGGGGAGGGGAGGCAGCAGACTGACCTGAGAACTGGGTTCTGTGTGCGGTTGCTGGCTGCAGGGTGCTTGTGCCTGCGTTAGGATATTTGTTGCCATGAAGGGATCCCGAAATTTGCCCTGGGCTGTGCTGCTGGACAAACCATAGGGCTTCCCTCACTCTCCACCTCCCCAGACCTCAGCACAGAGGCAGAGCCATATAAAGCAGTGGTTCTCAACCTGTGGGTTGTGGCCCCTTTGGGGGACTGCATATCTAATATCCTGCATATCACATATTTACATTATGATTCATGGCAGTAGCAAAATTACAGTTATGAAGTAGCAATGAAAATAATTTTATGGTTGGGGTCACCACAACATGAGGAACTGTATGCCAGGGTTGCAGCATCAGGAAGGTTGAGAGCCCCTGCTCCAGAGGCTACTGTTGAGCAGAGCTGTGGGAATCAGATGAAAACTTGCAGTCCTCAGCTGGCTCCCCTCCCCACCTCCTTCTGGGTTACTTTATTGTAACTTGTGTGGGGATTGAGCCTGGAGCCTTTCAATAATTTCTTCCTTTTTATTATTTTCTTTTTGAGACAGAGTCTCGTATACCCTAGACTGGCTCCCAGCTGTAGATAATAGCCAAGCATGATCTTGAACTCCTGAATCTCCTGCCTTTACCCCCTGAGCCCTGAATTGCAGCTGTGATACCCACACCAGGTTTTATGTGGTGCTGAGGATGGAACCCAGAGCTTTCTGTATGCCACTAGACCTAGCCCCTGGCTTACTTCAAAGTCGACACCAGGCGCCCTATCATTTAATCTGTGCCTATGAAGCATTTGTCTCTAAGAGACAGACTGCAACCACAGTGTTGCTGCCACCCCAGAAGAGAGCTAGTGACGTCGTTTGACCAGGGGTCTCCAGGCAGTGGTGCCACCAAGCCTGACAACCTGAGTTCTTGAGTTTAATGTCCGGGCCCCAAATGGTAGAAAGAGAGAACGGACTCCTTAGTTGTCCTCTGACCTCCACACACGTGCATACCTGCACATACCAAATACATGAGTAGAATATAATTAAATTGATATGGGAGAGGCTTCTGTTTTGTGTTGACTTCATTGGTTAAATAAAGAAACTGCCTTGGTCTTTGATAGGCCAACCCTTAGGTGGGTGGAGTAAACAGAAGAGAATTCTGGGAGAAAGCAAGCCGAGACAGTCAGTCGCCCATGATTCTCCCACCCGACACAGACGCAGATTAAGATCTTCCCTGGTAAGCCATCTCGTGGTGTTATACACATTATTAGAAATAGGTAAATCGAGATGTGAGAGTTAGCCAATAAGAGGCTGGAACTAATGGGCCAAGCAATGTTTAAATAAATACAATTTGTGTGTTGTTATTTCGGGGCATAAACTAGCCAGGCGGCTGGGCAGCAGGAACATAGCCCGCCATTCCCCACTACAGAGTGGCACCCAACGATTCCGTGTAATTATTATGGGTAAAGCTAGCCGGGTGGCGGGAAGCGACCCGCCACTACTCACAACATTAAATATTTTTTTTTAAAAACTTGTCAGCCAGGGGCACACCTTTAATCCCAGCACTCAGGAGGCAGAGGCAGGCAAATCTCTGTGAGTCAGAGTCTGGTCTGGTCTACAGAGCTAGCTAGGGCTACACAGGGAAACCTGTGTGTTTGGTTTTCCATCAGGGGTCATTCTAGTTGCTCAGCCGCTCCAGACTGACTTTCCGTGACTCAGGATTCTGCTTGCTGTGGAACTTCGTGTTGCACGTCACCCGTGACGTCTCTTCCAGTCTGGACAGATCCCATTGGCATTGTCACCTGTTAAAGACACAAGGCAGTTTTTCAAATTGTTCTGTCCTGTTGAGACAGGGTCTCACTCTGTAGTCCAGGTTGGCCTCGACTCACAGCAATCCCCCTGCCTTAGCCTCTGGAGTGTTGGAAATACATGCGTTTGCCACCAAGCCAGATGACCTTTCTGTCCTGATTGTTGTTAGGTCTGAGGGATTCTATTTGTTCTGTTTGTCAATCCTCTCCCAAATATACCTCCCAGGTATTCCCCATTCTTCAGGCTGCCTTTTACCCCAGTGATAGTGTTCTTGATACATGAAAGTTCTCAATTTTCTCTACGTCATTAAGTCCAGTTTATCTGGGTTTTCTCCTGCCCACTGCTTTTAGTCACCACCAAATCTAATATCTTGAGTTTGGTCTTTAATTTCTCTAAGTGTTTTATAGTTTTAGCCCTTTGTTTTGGCTCTTTGGTTCATTTTGAGTTCTTAGGACTACAAAAATTCAACACACGGGATTTCCTGTGTTCTAGAGCCTGCCAGTTGCCTCCTGGTGAACCCGTTTCTCCCAGCTTGGTGTGCAGACTTAACACTGATTTGGTCGGCATGGGGTTCAGTGTCTTGGCAAGGCCTCTTTATAAAGAGCAGGAATAATGGCGGCTTTTTTACCGCCTATGATGCTGAGACTGACGGTCTCAAAGCTCCGCTACACCTTTGGGCCTCAGACTTGGCTACAGAGCACAAGCCATGAGGAAGGCTAGTTAATATACAGCAGATTCTGCCCTGCACCCTAGGGTGCCAGATTCTGTCAGGGTGGGGTGGGGTGGGGTGGGGCCCAGGAATTTACAGTTTTGGCAAGCTCCCTGGTGGTGTCACAGTGGAGACTCTACCATGAGCTGCTGTGTCCCAGCCGCTGTAAGTTTCACTAAATGCATACAGTGATCTTCTGAGGACCTGACTGCTTACTGGGACACGTTTGTTTGTTTGTTTGTTTGTTTACTTTTTTGGTGATTCTGCCTGCACCCAGGCAGGCCTTGAACTTGTGTCTGTGTGGCCTTATCCTTCCAAATGCTGGGGTGGCAGGCTTGAGCGTCTGGTGGGGATTCAGTCCATCCCAGTGTTCACCCGGCCACTGTCAACCCTATCATCAGCCCTCAAATTCACCATAATTTCTCTTCCCATACTTGGGACTTTAGAAAAGAGGTGACCCCAGAGAGAGCAGTAACCCCCAAGAGCAGTGACCCAGATATTCCTTCCTTGCCCTCAAATCCTGGGTACTAAGTAAGCCCTGAGCCTGCCCTGGGTAGAGACTGGTGGCTGAATGAAATCATAGTCACCTCTCTTTACAAACCTTCTGGAACATTCTGCTTTGGAATGTTCTAATCTCTGGTTCAGGATGCTGGGCTTACTCACTTGTGTAGGTTTCTCTTTCACAGGCAAGTTGTCCAAGTCAGGGTTCCCAGGAACTTAGCCATTGCCTGTGGTAGAGTGACCAGCTTGTCCCTGTCTGTCTGGGACATCCTCAGGTTTGGGGGTTTTGTTTGTTTGTTGTTTTTCTTCCAGTCCCAGACTTTAAACCCGGGGCCTTGTACATGGTAGGTAAGTGTCCTGCCGCTAAGCTCTCCTCAAACCTCTCGACATTGTTTCCTGAGATGGGATCTCACTATGTAGTCCAGGCTAGCCTCCGAATTGTGGCGGTTGTCCCTGTGCCTCCCCAGTGTTGGGATCCAGAAGTCAAGCCACCATGCCCAGCTCCTTTTTTCAAGTTTTTATTTCAAAGTAGGCTCTTACTACATTTCCCAGGCTGCCCTTGACCCTGCAGGCCTTCTCCACTTTGGCTTCTTAGTTACAGCACAGAAACCCCTTGTCCAGGGAGCCATCCATGGTCCCTGGCAGACGAGTACAGTTGCTCACTCTCCTGAGGAACCCCCGGGCCTCCTCTTGCTTTGAAACTTTAGGTCCTAGTTGCCTGTGTCTCGGTGACACTTGAGATGGTTGCTGGCTGGAGAAGGGCAGAATTAAAAGATGCCTCGTGGTGAGAGGTTGTGGTTTCAGTCAGGGCTTGGCCTCAGATTGAGAGACTCTGTGTTGAGGGAACCTTTACCAGAAGGAGCCGGGACCTGTGCTTTCTTCTTCCTTGTGAGACAAGAGCACACCATGAGAACGAGCTGGGAAAGCAGAGGTGTAGGTGCTTAACCTTAACCCCGAAAGGACCACCTGGGGCTGCCCCGCCTCATCTGGTGTGGATGGAGGCCCTCGCTAGGAATTCTGGGTGCAGTAAAAAGAGACTTGGCAAACCGTCTTAGCAGGTAAAACAGAGGACTGTGGAACCCATGTGAAAAGCCAGATGCCGTCGGGCACATCTGTAATGCTAGCTAGCACTTCCATGGTGAGATGGGAGGCCAAGTCAGGAAAATCAGCTGGAAGAAACAGCACCTGCCTCACCAAGATGAAAAGAGAGAACCATCTACCAAAAATTGGTCTCTGATCTCCATAGAGAGATTTTTCTCGTCAGGGTTGAGGCCAAGGTTGGGGTCACGATGTTTGTTGGGATTTTAGTCTGGGTGTGGGTGCGCCCCTAGTCAGGTTTTATTGTGTCCAGTCTGGGTCTCTGAAGATCACTTTCAAATGAAATACTTTGGCTTGGTTTGGCTTTGTGAGACAGGGTCGTGCCGAGTAGCCCAGGGTAGCTTTGAATTTGCTGTGTACCTTGGATTCGCCAAGTCACCTGAGCTGATTTTTAAACTTTTGACCTGCACGCTGGAATTTGGCATGTTTCACCACACCTATCTTGCCCTTCTAATCTCCCTCTTAATAACCAGGCTATGATAGAAAGTGGTGGTTCAGACCCTCCCACAGAACACTTAGAGGGAGCGGCCTCTGTGCCCACAAGGTCAAATCTTAAGAGGAAGAATCAAAAGAAAAACTTGAGATTTCAGATGTGGAATGGCTCTGGCAATAGCAGATTCCGGCCCAGCCCACCCATCCTCAAACCAAATCAGGTAAAGTCCTGCTCACCACGAGACCACCAACAGTGGTACTAAGGAATTCTCCATTGGGTAATTTGTGCCCTTCACGCCTTGGGTTCCATTCTAGCTTCCTGCCGGGCTGGGTGAAGAAGGGGGCCTTGGAGAGCAGGCAGGAAAAGCTGTTGCTTGCCCCCACGTTCTCCACCAGCACCGTCACCCACACAGGTGCACGTGCGCACATCCGTCATGGCAAGAGGTATGGCTTTGACTTTGCACAGTTGCTGCTCATCCCGGTACAATCTTGATCCCGTGGTTTCCCTGCATCTCCGTTCCCCATCGTTAGACGGGGCCAGGACTCCCCATCTACCTCTCAGGAGGGTTGGAGAGAATGAGACAGTCCCCTAGTCCACAGCCAGACATTGGGAGATACCCCCCTCCAGGGCTGTCACACCTAGAATCAACTAAGGCTTTGTCAGGGTGGAGAGTTCCAGCCCCCAGCCTAATCCCAGGGCCTCAAGCCACTGGGCACACACGGATAGCAGCCGAGTGGAAGCTGTCCCAGTGCCCCTCCCGAGAGAAGGCTGCTTTGGAGGGGTGATGTAGGCCCTGCCTGCTGTTGGGACAAGTGCCTACTAGCAGGGAAACTTAAACTGTGGCTCCTGAATTGCTGAGTCATCAAAGCCACCCATGAAGGCAGGGTCCCTGAGCAGAAGGTCCCAGACACGCCCGGGACAATGCCAGCACCCCAAGAGTTCCCTGATGAATGAAGGCAGGTCTTGTGCACCTGTGTGTGCACAGGTATGTGTACATGGTCACACAATGCAGACACTCCCGTGCTGCGCACAGAGGAGAGGGCCTGACCTTACGAGATGCTCTCCTCCCCCATTGTAAAGGTCTGGACAAACCTTGATAATGGAAACAGGAACTGGGGTGGTGCAGATGGGTATTGGCAATCACGTTGCTCCGCACTGGGTGGTTTTGTCCGTCCGTGGAGGGCAGCAAGTCCCTTTCCAGAGGCGAGACACAAGTCTATGAGACAGGTACTTAGGTCATCCCATTTTATAGACAAGAGCATGGAGACCCCAAGGTTTACGTCATTTGTCCATCCCTGTGAGGCAGAGTTAGACCTGGAGGTCAGACCGGCTGGCTGCAGAAGATGCAGTGGTTCTTGCTTAGCTGGCAGGAGAGCTTGTCTGGAGAGAAGAGTTGGGGGTGGAGGCTGTAGCCGATATTCTGTGGTCCCTCTGCTTTGGGGGGGGGGGTGCTCATACTTGAAAAAAAAAACGGAAAAGCCTTAGTATATCAGCAAACAGATCGATATGACTCCTCCGTGCCTGCAGGGATAGCCTGCTCACCTGGCTGTCCTTCATAGTGGACCCCTGCCTTTGTAGAACTGGCCACTGTCACCAGGCTTGGTGGCACAACCTGTAATCCTAACACTCAAGAGGTCAAGGCAAAACAATCACAAGTTCAAGGCCATCCTGGCCTACGCAGTGGGTTCCAGGTCAGCCTGACCTACGTACTGAGACCCTGCCTCAAACAGAATCAGCAGTGACACCTGACCGCTGCCCCAGCTGTGCCTGTTAAGTAGCCTCAGGTATTGCCCCATGATGAGGCAGTGAGCCTCACGCTGTTGGTCCCTCCATCCCCTGCAGATGTCATGGCACCCCCAGTACCGCAGCTCCAAGTTCCGACACGTCTACGGCAAGCCTGCCAGCAAAGAGAACTGCTACGACTCAGTGCCCATCACGCGCAGTGTCCATGACAACCACTTCTGTGCCGTGAACCCCCATTTCATCGCTGTGGTCACTGAATGCGCCGGCGGGGGGGCCTTCCTCGTCATCCCCTTGCACCAGGTAAGAACCCTAGTGATCCCAGGGCCCAGACTCATCTCTAGAGCCTACGGGACCGATGGAAAAGGGAAGGGAGCCCAGTCTGGGTGTGATTGAAGGCCTGGCCTGCTTTCCTAGTTGTGTGAGCTTACGTCCGCCAGCTCTTTGGGTCTTGGTTTCCTTCTTGGGGAAGAACCTGATAGGTGAACGGTTCAGCAGCTGGCCTAGCCCCTTCTAAGACCTTCTCTCGTGCATGCGGAACAGTGCTCACTCCTGTTTTCTCTCTTGAATGAAATATAATTATTAGTACATTGCTGGACTCGTGTGAAATGGGAACTTGCCCAAGCTACTGCCCCTTCCCGAGAGGTGGGGATGGGAGGCACAGAAACAAGTGTTGGGCTAGAACCTACATTGGAGAGGGAACCAACAGGCAGAAGGGCAAACACTTACCCTTAGAGCCAGCAGTGGGCCATGAACCATTAATGTCACTCAGTGTTTGAACCTACAGAGTGACAGGTTCAGAGAGATCACCCTAATAGTGGGGTCTTTGTGGGACACCAGCGCTGAACCTGCCATTGGCAGACCACCTGAAGAGGCAGGCCTGGGAGAGAGGGGGGCTCCCAAGCTGTGCTTCTACCTCATGGCCAAAGGGGCTGGGGACCCGGGACACGGGAAACCAAAGCAGCCCACAGACTTAGATCAGGCAGCTGAGGCGTCACCAAGACTGGCAAGCAAGAGTCTGCTGAAAGGCCAGAAGCAGGCCTGGAGCACCGAGGACCTGCACAGTCGAAGCCCCGCGTGACATGAGTTCACAGGTTGCTTTCCTCCTCCCGGCACCGAGGCTTTAGAAACCGGTGACCCAGACAAGTTCAATGAGGCCAGCTGTCCCCACTCGTTTGGAGTGTTTGCTTGCTTGCTTCTTTGTGACAGGGTCTCCTGTAGGCCAGTTCTTTAACTCCGTGTAGCCAAGGTCGGCCTTGACCTCGCCCTCCTAAGTTACCCCCCCCTCCCCCGCCCAGTGTGAGTTTCAGGTGTGTGCCACATTTCCAAATTTAGAAGCCAGAGGAGGAATCAAAGTGAAAATTTGCTTACTTTGTTTTTGGTTATTTATTTATTTAGTGTGCATGCATTCCTGTGTGTGTGTGTGTGTGTACATGTACATGCATGCCACAGCGCAAATGCGGAAGTCAAAGGGCAGCTTCCAGGAGTCAGTTCTCTCCCGCAGCTTGTGGAGGTGGGGTCCCCATTATTGTCTCTACCACTGTGCAGCTTACTCCAGGCTAACTGGCCCTCCAGCTTCTAGCTGATTCTCCTGTCTCCTCCTCCCATCTCCTAGAATACACAAGAGCACCGCCTCAACCAGCTTTTTGTTTTTGTTTGGGGTAGGCTTTGGTTTGTTTGCTTTGTTTTTCAGTTCCTTAGGACAGGGTCTCACTAAGTAGCCCTGTATCACCTGGTACTTGCTGTGTAGACCAAGCTGACCTCAGTCACAGATCCACTTGCCTGCGTTTCTCCCAGTGCTGGGATCAGAGTTGTGGATCATCAACACCCAGCATTTTAGGTTTTGTTTTATTTTGTTATTTGGAGACAGGTATTCTTTGTGTAGCTCTGGCTGTCCTGAAACTCACTCTGTAGACCAGGCTGGCCTCTAACTCACAGATCCACCTGCCTCTGCCTCCTGAGTGCTGGGATTACAGATGTGAGACACCATACCCAGCTGAGGGTATTTGCTTACTAAAGAACTCAGTTCGTAGGGTCGAGGATGAGGCTCTGTTGGTAGAGTTCATGCTAACATGCTTGAAACCATGAGCTCCATCCCCAGTGCTGCATAAACCCAGCATGACTGTGCACACCTATAATCCAGCATGAGATCGTCTCAAAAAAAAAAAAAAAAAAAAAAAAACCAACTTGAAGGAAAAATAAGGGTTAGCAAGCAATTGAGTGTGGGAACATTGTTCCTATTATATACCAAGTGGAAAAACCCCTGTATCAGTAGATAAGTTGCTGACCAAAGTACTTAGTATACATAGCCGCATACAATACAATCTCACATTGAGATTACAAAGTACAGATGCTGTCATCCCATTTCCCTAAAATTAAAAACAGTTGGACTATAAGGAACAAGTAATTAAGTGGTAAATTTTCAAAGAAAACCAAGTTAGGGAATAACCATGAGAACCAAGACACTAGTTCCCTCCTGCAGCAGGGAGTGGCTGTGAAACCACGCACCCCAAAGGTTCCTACATTCTAGTGATGGCTCCTGTCATGACCTGGGAGGGCTGGGTCCTGTTTATCTGTTGACTTATTGCCCAAGTGTTCATGTGACTGAACATTTCGAGTCCATGCACTCTGGGGCATGGTTGTTGCATTTTACAGAAACAGATACACATAAGAACAATGCCAGGGGGGGCTGGAGAGATGGCTCAGAGGTTAAGAGCATTGCCTGCTCTTCCAAAGGTCCTGAGTTCAATTCCCAGCAACCACATGGTGGCTCACAACCATCTGTAATGGGGTCTGGTGCCCTCTTCTGGCCTGCAGGCATACACACAGACAGAATATTGTATACATAATAAATAAATAAAATATATTAAAAAAAAAAGAACAATGCCAGGGTAGATACCATGGGTCAGCGGTGTACTCTTGCCCACTGTTGGGCTGTTAGCCTTGGTAAATAGCGCCAGCATGACACACGTAAAGGATACAGTCATGAGCGGTTTGTCGAAATGTAATGGCCCTTGATGGCTGCCGAGGTGACTCAGAGGGTAAAGGTGATTGATTGTCATCAAGCCTGGCAACCTAAGTGTCCAACCCCTGGCCCCCCAAATGGTGGAGAGAACTGACTCCTGAAAACATCTCTCGCGTCCACACGTGTGCTATGGCATGTGTCCAGACACGCAAAATGTAAACAGAGTATGTAGTCGATTGTTTAAAAAAAAAAAAGCTAAACATAAAACTCAGAATTAAAAAATGAATTACATTTGCACGTGACAGAAATAACAAATGTCACTAACATTTCTAGTAGAATAAAACTTGCACACCTAGCCGGGCATGGTGGCACACACCTTTGATCTCAGCACTCGGGAGGCCCAGGCAGGAGGATCTCTGTGAGTTTCAGATCAGCCTGATCTATCAGTGAGTTCCAGGAGAGCCAGGGCTACACAGTGAAACCCTATCTCAAACAAACAAACAAACAGACACAAAGTTTGTTTTACGTAAACAAGCCAGGCTTAGGAGAAAATTACAGAGCACCATTGAAGGACTCACAAAAGATGGCATGAATAACTGGAAACGCATACCAGGTTCATGGATAACCACTCTGTAGCTGAAGATGAGACTTAAACAGATCCACCTGCCTTCCCCTCGCCTGCTCAGGGATTACATAAAGGCCTATTCCCCTTTCCTAAAATGCACCCCACAGCATGTTTCTTGCTTAGGACTCTGTGGGAGGGGGAGATGGGGGGGCCTCAGTGCCTCCACTCCCACCTGTAATGTTATGCGGGAGGCGAGGGGAGGGCCTTGTTTACTGCTGTGCTGGTTGCTGCCAGATTTTCATTGACTGAGTGAATTACCTAACCATTGTTCAGGCTGCTAAGCAGAGTGGTTCTCGATGGCCAAAGGAAGGGCCCCGACAGAGGTGTGGAGAACAATTCCAAAGGCAGTCTGACCAGAACTGAAGAGCAGGCTTTGAAAATGAGGAAGCAAAGAAAGAGCCCTGGAGAAGCAGATTGGGCTTTGTGAAAAGGGCCTTGACTGCCAGGGCGAGACGCGGAAAAAACTGTGCTCTAGGGAGATGAAGGTTTACAAGCTGGAGAAGAATGAGTCAGAGAGAGATGTACGGGTCACTGCGGGAGGAGCTGTCTACAGGACAGGGGTAGAGGGGCCTAGAAGCTCCAAGTTTGCCGCAAGTTTCTCCCGACTCTGGGTGCTTCTAAAAGGTTTTGTCCATCAAATGATCTACATTCTTCACTAATTAAGGAATTAATTAGGGCTGGGAGTGTAGCTGGGTAGGAGAATCCACAAGGTCATGGGTTCGATACCCAGAGCAGGAAAAAGAAAACAAATTGGTTTACTACTCAGATTCTAATTTGCATTTACTACTGATGAAAATATCAGCGTGTTCAGGCAATGCATATCAGGTTTGTGTGGTGGATGATGACAAGGGGGGGGGGGCTGCTTCACCCAGGATGGTCCAGGAAGGCCTTCTTTAGGAGATGCCCCTAGACAATGGCTTTGATGCTGAAGAACATGTTCAGGCAGAGCCAGAAGCCAGTGCAGAGATCCTGAGTGCCTTTGGACTGACTCCCCTCAACCGAGAGTACTGCAGTTCAGTATCACAGCCTTGGTGAGAGTGTGTGTGTCACCCCACAGACCTCTCCTTGGCCTATTGCACAGACACTCCTCACCACCCCCACTTCCTCCTCCTTCACCCCTGGCCAGCGCTAATCCGTTCTCCGCTTCATTACTGTTGGCATTTTAAGGCTGGGTAACTAGAACCGGACAGTCCTGCCACCTTTGCATTTGAATCATTTGGCGCTGGGGACTCACACACACACACACACACACACACACACACACACACTCACACACCCGCTGTCAGGCCATCAGCAAGCACTCCAGTGTAGCCCTGAACTTGGCTGTTTTCACTCAGCCCAGGTTCTCTGGACATCCACCACGAAGATGTGGAAGGCTTTTCAGGGAAAGTTGCCCTCACCTGTCTTTACGGCAGCTGGGTATATGATCTTGTGCTGTTACGGTCCTCAAAGGGTGTAATTTATGAGATTTTTAAAATGTAGTGAAGCTTAAAATTTGAAGTTTAAAGCTAAATAAGATATATGACCTGGGTTATTTACTTTTCTTAAAAAGTTTTCTTTTGGAATGAAATCCTGAGGTGTGTTGTTTAAAAGATGAGGAGCGAGCACTGACACAGACCCCAGGCATTCTGTCCCTAAGTAAGCAGAGATCATTGTTTGATGCTCTTGTTTTGTTTTGTTTTTGTTTTGGGGGATGTTGAGACAGTTCCCTAC